AATTATTACTATTTGTTACATGAACTAATATTAAATTCTAAATATTATCTTGAGAGTTATTATTATTGCAGGTGTTTTTAATATTATTTTATTATTATATTTTCATTCTGTAACAACGTGTATTATTACTAGAAGTTCCTTTTCATGTGTAGGGTATTTTTACTCAGTAGGGGAAAGTTTTCGAGATTCAAAAGCAATGGATTGCTCATATCTAGTAGGTTTTTGAGATAAAACAGCACCAAGTGCGAAGTCAGATGCATCTGTAGTAATTGTAAAAGAAAGTTTTGAATTAGGAAGAAGGAGAACAGAAGCAGTGGTAAGTGTTTCTTTTAATTGTTTGAATACTGTTTGTGTTTAGTTATCCTATGAGAAAGGTCATTCCTTGTGAAGTAAATTGATAAGAGGAGTAGCAATAGTAGAGAAGTTTTTTACAAAGCGTCAATAATAACTAGCGAGTCCTAAGAAAAAATAGATTTCAGAAATATTAGTAGGAACAGGTCATTCTTTTATGGCTTGTATTTTTTGAGGTTCATAGAAATTCCATTGCCAGAAATAAAATGTCCTAAGTATTCAACCTTAGTTTAAAAAAGTTCACATTTGCTCCACTTGGCAAATAAGTTGTGTTTTCACAGGGTAAGGAGAACATCACGGAGATGTTGCAAGTGTTCCTGTGCTGTTTTACTGTATACCAAAATATTATCAAGATAAATAACAACATATTTATCTAAAACTTCATGAAAAATATCATTTATCAATGTCATAAATGTAGCAGGGACATTTGTCAAACCAAAAGGTATTACTAGAAATTCAAAATGGCCATATCGGGTATAGAAAGCAGTTTTAGAGATGTCACTATCTCAAATACGGATTTGGTGATAGCCAGAGTACAAGTCAATTTTGGAAAAATATTTAGCACCAGATAATTGGTCCATTAATTCCTCAATCCTAAGTAGTGGGTATCGGTTTTTAATAGATATTTTATTTAATGCACAGTAGTCAACACAAAGGTGAAGTGTTTTTTCCTTTTTATATACAAAAAGTACAGGGATACCATAAGGTGAAACACTCAGATGAATAAATCCTTTGGTTATCAAATTAGCAAGTTGTTATTTAAGCTCATTCAATTCTTCATAAGACATATGATAAATAGAACAGCAAGGTGGTTCGCTTCTGGGTACAAGATCAATTGCATGGTTTATTTTTTACTTAGGTGATAAATGATTAGGTAAACTTTCAGGAAAAATATCTTGAAATTCTTGGTATAGTTGTTTAGCCATTTGATTAAAAGAAAGGGTTTAGTTGTCAGGTTCCAAAAATACTGCAAAAAGTTCATTGATTTCAAAGACATTTGCAAGTTGTTTGTGGGAAATAAAAAGAGAATTGATTGTAGGTATAGTAGTAGGTTCTAGGCAAGTAGATTGTACTGAAATAGTTTTAGGTCCATATTGAAAAGTTAAAATTTTTGTGTGCCAGTTAATTTGAGGATTGGCTTGAACAAGTTAAAATTGTCCAAGAATCAAATCATCACGATGGAGTCGAATTAGATGTGCTTCAACTCTAAAGGTATGATAAGTTCCTAACTCAAGTTTAGACAAGGTGACAAGCTCATGTGATTTTTCCTTTGCACCATTTACAAGTTCAATATAAATTTCTTTACCAGTAGAAATAAACAGATTATTTTGTTCAGCGAACTTTTTGTCAATAAAATTTCGAGTGGCTTCACTATCAATTAAAATTTGCACAGGGTTTCCATTAATTTTGTCATTAATACATAGCAGTCCTTTCTGGTTTGTTAATAAATGTGTCAATTTCATTTGTTGATTTACAATAGTTTCAGGCTGGTCTTCCAGAACACGAAGTTGATTTCTCTTCCTAAGACAATCCTTTGCAAAGTGTCCAAGTTGGTTACAGTCAAAACAATTACCACGAGGT